ACATATACCCAAAATAAAATTATAAATATTGGTGTTAGAGACATATTTACCCAAACCAAATTTTCTCAAATTGGTATACCAAAAGATATACTCATTCAGACGTGTTTTTATAAAAGATAATTATTTCAAAGTTATCATCTCATCACTGATTTGGAGGAACCTATGTGATCCTAGTATCCTCTTTGCTCATGAGATTATGAATATAATTTGAGTAACTGAATTCTTTCTTATTCAGAGCAAAACAAGGGAGAGAAAACCCTATTATTAGCAATGTTTGTTTGAGACAAAGTCTCACTCTGTCTCCCCGGCTAGAGGCTAGAGTACAGTGGCATCATCGTAGCTCACAGCAACCTCAAATTCCTCAAGTGATCCTCCTGCCTCAGCCTCCCAAGTAGCTGGGACTACAGGTTGTGTGCCACCATGCCCAGCTAATTTTTCTATTTTTTGTAGAGATGGGGTCTCGCTCTTATTCAGGCTGGTCTTGAACTCCTGAGTTCAAGCGATCCTCCTGCCTCAGCCTCCCAGAGTGCTAGGATTACAGGCATGCGCCACTATGCCTGGCCATGACCACTGATTTTAATCATTTTACTCAAGTGTTGAATGAGACATTCAAGAGAGTCTGAATTAATTCTGTTTCTAGCCCAGGCTGGGGGAAACAGTAGAATGAAATGACAGAGAACACTGGACTGGCTTCACAACTAACATGCTGGGAAACTTGGGCAAATTAACTTCTATGAGCATCAGTTTCCTCATCTATAAATGCCCATTTAATGCCTATTTGGCATGGCTGTTTTAAGAATCAAAGGAGGAAATATATTTAAGCATTCACCAATAGTAGAGTCAAATAGTTCTTACATGGGTCCAAGGCTCCAATACAATGACTGCTACCCAATCTCTAGGTCTTCAAAAATGCAGATAATCCTCTTGAAATGAAATCTGTTGTTTTGCCTTGATTGCATCTGTGTCTAGTGTAAATGAAGAAGGGAGAGTTTGGTGATCTGGCTAGGGCCTGAGTAGGAACACCGAAGCAAAGCGGTAGAGACATTTGGGGATTTGTGGGAAGAGAAGGAGGTTTGCAAATCTATCCCATATGGTTTCCAAAATTCTGCTTTTTATGACACCTTTTTCTTTTTCTTTTAAAGACAGAGTCTTCCTCTGTCACCCAGGGTAGAGTGCAGTGGCATCATCGTAGTTCACTGCAACCTCAAACTCCTGCGTTCAAGAGATCCTCCTGCCTCAGCCTCCCGAGTAGCTGGGGCTACAGGTGTGCACCACCATGCCCGGCTAATTTTTCTATTTTTAGTAGAGTCGGGGTCTTGCTCTTGCTCAGGCTGGTCTCAAATTCCTGAGCTCAAGCAGTCCTCCCACCTTAGCCTCCCAGAGTGCTAGGATTACAGGCATGAGCCACCTTGCCCGGCCTGTATTACCACCTTTGCGTCAATCAAATACACAGCTGTTAATGATTTCTCTCTTGATTTAGAGCATCTCACTCTAATACATAGGATGTTTTTAGAGATCATAAATGCAGTGGTTTACCTTCACAGGCTCCAATCTGTGTAGAGAAATGTTTCCAGGCTGCAGCTTGTCCCATCCGAAGCAAATTACCTTTATATAGCCTATTGCGTATTAAATCTGTCCTTCAAAGATTCGGGCTTTCATATTTTTTTCCCCAATTCACCAGTGTTAAGCCAAGCTAAGTAATTTGTAGTAGCTTTTCCCCCTAAATCCTAGATTGAAGTAGCAGAGATGCCCCATTATAAGCTCCCAAGAATGATCCTGGTTATGCTAGAAGCGGTAGAAGGGGGTATGTTGGCAAGACCCTGGCTGCAAGAAGGGCCTATGACAGGAAAAAGAGTCCTCTTCCCTTTTTTCGTGCTTGATCTCTCAGAGTGATGGCTCTCAAACTTGGGCGTGCATCGGAATCACCCACAGGGCTTCTTAAAGCACAGATGACCGGGCCCCTCCCCCAGAGTTGGGTCTTGAGGGGAATTCTTGCAAAATCGAGAATTTGCATTTCTAGCAAGTGCCCAGATGATGCCAAAACTGCTGGTCCTAGAACTATACTCTGAGAAATGCTATCACCTAAAAAACGAACTAGTTTCGAGATTAATAAATTATCACTTACATAATGAAATTTGAATTCTACGTTTAAACACTCCACACACCTATTTAGAATTTTGACACGACTGTAGGTAAAATGATCACACCAACAAGAAGGAAGCTGTAGAGTGTTGTTCTAAATGGTTTATTTCGTCAGGCCTGTCCAAGAAATTTAGCCATACTCCAAAATTAATTCCATCGCTTTTAGTTGAGGTGAACTTTAATTGACCCACACATGTCTGCTTCCAAAGGCTCTCTCCCAAAGACTAGCTCCTGTTTGGCCGCAGAAGCAGCTGCCATTATGGATTCTAGCCAGATAGTGTTCATTTTGTTAAACA